TCGTCCTAGCAAGAAGACCATTCTGACCAACACGTCCCGAGCTCAAAGTCAAACCCTCACCCTTACCCAACCACCCACTCATAGGTGTCCCACATCTCTTCCGAGTCGCGCCCTTGATACTCTTTGGTGAAACTCTCAACGGAGCCGTCTCCACCATTCCTTGCGCCAAAACTTGACCATGACTCTGACTCTGAGCCGCAGAAACTGAGAACGAAACTAGTGTAGGCGTGGTCGGACTAGGCATTGGTGTAGGATCTTCTTCCCATTCCCATTCGCTTTCTCTCCTTTCCATAGCCTCTTTCCAAGTCATTCCCATCCTCGTTTTCAAAGACGGACCGGAAGGCTCTGATTCGCTACCAAACGAACTCCACCTCCCCGTTCCGGGACTTTCAGGAACTCTGATAGCGTGGCTAGGTGGGGAGTTTCGTTTTATAGAGTCTTTTCTGCACAGCGAAGATGAGGACGATGGTACCGGGACATCCACAGATTCTGCGTCCTCTTCGAGAGCAAGAAAATTGGAAACAGAAAGAGGGAGATGCGTATCGGATTTTGTCTTTAACCTCGACGCTGCATCTCCATATACATTTGCATGCAGCCCATGAGGATGTGGATCCGAACTCGACCTCGACAACGTAACGGAAGCTGACATGGCGGGAAAAGATGAAGGAAGTGGAGGTAGAGGAGGGATAGGATTCAATGGACTTGGTTTTTTGGGTCGCTCGATACCGATAGTGTCAGTTCGTCTGATCTTGGACGTGGACGAAGTAAAGCTAATCCAGTGTCAGACCTCGCACTCAATGAAGAAACAAAAAGTATATGTACCTGCTAGTCTTGCTCACAGAAACAGGCAAAGGAGGCAATGGAATCTTTGGAGGAGCCGACGTAGGCTTACTCGTGTTTGCTGCAGACCTCGCTCGGAGCTTGGCTTTTACAGACTCTGAAAGCTGCATCGTCGGTGCTAGGTTGAGGTCGGTCCTGGATGACCTGACAGGGACAGGTAATCCACGCTCGGGATCTAGAACCGTCCTGTGCGAGCTCAAACTCGTACTTGTGCTAGTAACGCTGAGAGATGGATGCTGAAGAGGAAGAGGGATATCGCTAGTAGAGGAGTGGATCGAGCTGGTAGAGTAGGAACTGCAAAGCGTGGCAGACATGGCGGTCGAAGGAGTGAAAGATGGTGCTGAAGAAGTAGTAGTAACAGAAGGAGCGACGGATGCTGATATTGAGCGCATAGATGGAGCTACAGAACGCGCTTGCGCAGAATCACAAGAAGATGCAGACGAGTTTGACGAATACGAGGATGGGCTATGAAACGTGAATAAGATGCAACGAAAAGTGAAGAGAGACTTACGGATACGCCGAGGCAGGTTTCCTGCTAATGACGCGACCTTGCTGCTGACCAGGTATTTCTGGGAGAGGTATCGCAGGTGGAAGAGGCGGAACTGGAGGCGCTCTCCTCTTTTGCAACTGTCTCTTCCTTGGCGGCAGGGCCTTTGATTTACGCAAAAGCGACTCGGTTTCAGAGTCTGTATGGGGCATATTCAAGGTCCAATCTCTGGAACGCGACTGGGGCGACGCAGGCGGACTAGGAAGAGGGCATGTCGGAGGCGGAAGAGGCGGGCGAGTTTGTAACGAGGCTCGACGAGGAGACTTGGAATCAGAACTAGGACTTGGCTGCTGTGCGACGACTTGAACGCGTCCTTTTGCAAACGGATCTGTTTCTTCTTGTGCAGTTGTAATGATGGCATCACAAGATGAAGACCGCCAATGGCCAGAACTGGAGCTAGATCGACGGATGGACGGAGAACGCGGGGGTGTAGGCGGGTATGCTGATCTCGATGAACGGGATGAGCACACTGATTCTTGTTCTTTACAAAACAGCGATTCAAAGCCCATCTCGTGACGAGAGGCGAGAGGCAAGTACGGCACGTACAGGGTGTCGGCCGAGTTGTCTAGTAACGAAACCTTGGGAATAGGCAGAGGTGGCGGAGATGGCGCTTTGTTTGAACGAATGAGCAGAGACTTGATTTTACGAATCACTTTTGGACTGTGGCCGACTGGCGGGGATGGTAGACGTTTTTGAACGAGTGTACATGTATGATCTGGAAGAGCGAGGGCGAGATCACGCTCAAAGTCGAGTGCATCAGAGACGAGCTGGCTAAACTCGCTCAGCGAGAAACTTGTTCGCCGGGACATGGTTGGCTCATGGATTTTGGGAATCGCGTCCGTTTTAAAGAACCTCTCATCTGTCCAAATTCGGAAACGACGATGGACTTGTCAAACACGTGCTGAGGCGTCCAATCTCCGGTGTCCAGATCCATTTCTAGATCTGGCTTTTATTGCTGATCCTCTATCTCCACCTCCCCAAAGAATCCTTCGGAGTCCTCTTACCGGTCTACAGTGTTTCACTCTAGTTTTTTTTTCTTTGCTCGTGCAATTTCCAGAAACTTGCCGGATTTTCCTCTCTCCCCGACTACTCGTCTCGCATTCAGTCTAATTCGACGTGTACACTACACACGTCAATTCATCAACGTCAGTCAGGGCATATTACCATGTTCTTTTCGTATTCGCTGAGTGGTGGCGTTCCGCAGCGCAGCGTCGAAATCACTATCCATCCATCAACGCATCTTGACAATCTACTAGACCTCGACCACATCTATTACCTTTAATATTACACCGCGTCCGTACCTGCCACTCTCAGGCCCTGCGCGGGTACAAATCGCTCACATTAGATGGTGATTTTAGCTGGGACGTACTGATTTCATCCCATCTGTCGGCATTCTCGGTGATTTCCATTTCCCATTTCCTTGAAGTAGTAGAATAAGTATTAGAGTCATATATCACAGAGCACATCATCAGGAGGTCCTTGGTAACGTATGATATTACCATTCGACATTCGACGGAATACCATTCCCCCGCCTCTACGACGCATTAATCGTTTGCGTATTTTCAATTCCCTTCCCGCTTTCTTGTGCTTGACTAAATACCTCACGTATTCTGCATCGTCATCCCCTACAAAATAGTCCACGTAAAACCCACAATCTATTTTCTTCTCATAGTATAGATAGACAGGCACGCCTCGAAGCTCTGAAGATCATACCTACACTGGCCATACAAGGGTCATACAATACCTCGTCAAAGTCGACATAGCAGCAGGACATTATTCATTCCACTTATCATCGATCCCTACCCGACGCGTCAATCATTGATCATTCTTCTTTTTTTCAATTCTTTTCCCTTTTCTCCCGTTAATGGTCATGAGGCTTCTATCTAAATCCTATATTTCTCCAGCTATATACCAACTGGTAAAAGGAGCTATGGTAGAGGATAACCAGATAGAGGACTCACGCGCCAACCTTCCTTTTAGGACACTTCAAGTCCAGGGACCTTGAAGGAAAACTTTACAAGAAAGAACCCCAACACCAAACGCGTACTTACGCGTCGCGTCGATCCCGAATCCCGATCATAACGATCGTCTTTTTGTGATCATACCACCACCGCTCGTTCAAACACCTGACCTTCTTTCATTCATCCATTCTCGTCGATCTGGGGTGACCCAGGCCCAGTGGTACTTGGAGTAAGTAACTACTCATTTACATTATTACAAACTCGACCCGGGAGTGGAGAAACTGGCTGACCGACTTTGACTCAACAACCATACGGTGTGGCGTTCTAGAACTCACTCACCCAAGGACTGGATACTATTGGAAGCTACCAAGTACGAGTTCTCGAGAGCGCTAGTTCGAACACTCGACCCACCTAGACCCAGGACCGGAATTCGAATCTCCTTCTCCTACTGCTTTGGCTTTGTCTTCAAGTCAACGGAACGGCTAATGGGTTACCGGTTACCGGCTACCTTGATCGACGCGCCTAATTACTTCAAACTTCAGCTTAAGGGTTCATCTCGATATATTGTCTTTCGAGGTGCACAATGACTCAATTGCAGATCCTCTCCGTATACTCTAGTGGATCTTCACTTACCTGTACACACACCGGGAGTCTCGCAAGCGGTCCCGGTCATGGTCGACTTGCAACCTGAGCACCTGAGCCTTGGATGACCTCGACTCCTCGCTCGTCATCATCGTGACAGCCTAGTGGTCCGTGATTACTCTAATTCGCCCGATACCAAAGCCAGGACATGACCGGGACGACCAGCATTCGAATTCGCATCCAGGTCAGCAAGAATTGTTTTTTCGAGTTCTCAAGGCAACACGTTTGTCTTCCCTATCACCATATTCCTTCCCCAATCTACCACTGCGACTATCTTATCTCCGCCGAAGACCAACAACCAACAACGGACACTTCAAGTCGCGTCACCGACAAGTCTAGACAATGGCAACGTCCGAGTCGAATACCGAGCTCTGCCCGCTCACCTCGTGTCTGGTAACAAGGTAACAAGAGGATCTGGAGTAGTGATCAGTTAATGAAAAGAAAAATATTTACTCAACTATTGACAGTGACAACGCTTCCGAGCTGCATTTTACGCCTCGAGGCTTTCAACGTTCAACATGAGCTTTGCCATGAGGCGGAGAATCAGCCTGATGTTGATTATGGTCTCGAGGATCTCGAAGGGAGTATTGAAAAAATGATTAATAAACGTTGGACGATTTTCGTTCGGAGGGTTGGTATGATAACCTTGACGGTCTATCGCATGTATACTCGTGTTGTGTCGCAGATTCTCAGCAACATAAACATACACGTCTCGAACACGGCGTATTATATCGACGTTCTGCGTACTCTCAGACAAGTACTTTTTCTATCCCTCGATGTGCATACTTAATCAACTTTTGCTTTTGTTCTTGTCCCGACGCTTCAAGTAATATATAATGCGAAAACGGAAGCCAAGTAACATATTCAGGGACATCCCGCGGAGACAAGTCATCTTGATCGATCGAATTAATACCTTCAGAATCTTCAGCCACATTTTTTGTCCATCTCATCAAAATTTCCAAGTCCGAGTTCACCCTCTTATCCATATCCCCTCAGATTTGATCATCACCCTGACCTTGGCTCAGATGGAAGAGCGCATGGTTGCAACTAGAACCATGGGGTTGTCTGTTCGATTCAGGCAGGTTGGAGTTTACCTGCGTGAAAATAGTTTTTTCTCACTCTCAAGTAGCCTAGTTCTCACTCTAGCTTGATTTACTATTTTGCCAAGTTCTTGAGTAGTAAATAGCCATCCTAATCTTGTTGACACACCCAGGGTCCAGAAGTACTATCGTATATACTGTATTACTAATGACAAGGCGAATGTTAGTTGAAGGGACTTTATCAACAAATGTTTGAACTGTAAATCTCGAAAGGGATGTCATTGGTGAGTTTTTCGGCAAATCAAGACAGATTTTGGTGTCTTGTAATATTTATTGTCAAGGTCTACTGTAGCATTTCAATCAATTCGTCAGTAACGGGTAACGGGTAACGGGACCTTGAAAATCGACGAAAATGAGGGGTTGTAACGCATAACTGAGGAAGATTTCCCTCTGTTACAACAAAAAAAATCACCCAAAAAAGGCAATTTTTCGTCGGCTCCGGCGAAATTCTGACTGTTGTAAGTAACGGGTAGTAATTTCCTCAAGTGAGGATGAAAAAAGTTCGTCAGGTATGTAACGACAACGGAGGGGTGACGAATTGATTGAAAGGCTACAGTAAGCTAGGAAACAAGTGATTTGGATATCCCTACGGCTCACTTATCGGAAGATTTCCAAATCAGCCTGAGCGACATGATCAAACATGCTTATGGGAGCCTCAGGGTTGGAGCTGGTGTGATGAGTCCAAGCCCATCACCAATAGAATGACAACCTTCATAAATGACTGATAGTTAGTATGTTTGTCGACCCAACTGTTACTATCAATTATCATTGGCCGAGCTGATCAGTGAGAAGTTTGTGGTAAAGAAGCCTGAGACTTGCAAAAATATGGCAACAAAAATTTCAGCTGTCTGCAACAAAGGTAATCGTAACAAGCACGAATGTTGGTATAACATAAATTAGAACATGAACTACTTCATGGCTTTGATGGCATCAGAGTCTGGTCATATATAACATGTACGATAATGGAATTTCTCCCCGTCACCTCAAAGTTTTAATACTAAACCAAGTCAGAGCCATCAGTATATCAACAACAACACAACATGATATCAGATCATACTAGAAACATTCTTGCCTTATTCTTGGTTATGTCTGTAAGTGTTCAAAGCAATAAGTTAAAAATAATATCATCTTATCCCATCTGCAATTAAACGGTTTGAGCATCTGTTGTATGGTGAGCACCTATAATCTTATTACACTGTATATCCAGGTGATGCATAAAAATCACAGGAGGCTATGCTGTTCTTTTTATTTTTGCTGTCATTGTGTTACGCCGTCGCAAAGCAAGAAAGCAAGCCAACAATCAGCTGCATCTTATTTCATTGATTGTATTGTTTCTTTTGACAACACTAGTCATTTTACTGCACTCGGCACAAATTCTGAGAATTGCTGCCTTGAATCTTCTGGATATGCCTTTGAAAGATATTTCTGATAAAGTTGTGATACGTCTTGTGTAAGTATAAGACACTGCTACTCTATATTCAAATTTCTTAAAATGCGACAGTGTGTCATTTGATTTAATCTCTTTACTGGCCAAGTGAGTGTACATGGTTATAATTAATTTAGCACAGATCTGATTGCATTTCTTTCTAGGCTTATCACAGACCTTTTACTTGTGGGTATTCTTTTGACTCTCTACAAAATATGAATAGGATTTGAGCTTATGTCCTTAGATCTACCGTTTATTCATTATTTGGGCATATCAAAAAAAGATTGCATGCGTGTTTTTAGTTGCTTCTTGCATAAACCATGGTGGGCCTAATGTCAACACATTTATTTGTTAAGCTATTGCTGAATATCAATATTGACAAGTGTTGGGGGTTATCAATATTGCCACACATGATACCAAAGCTGTGGTTATAAATGGAACAGTATTTTATGTGATAAATTTGATTATAGGCATATTGCTAACATCTTGCATTGGTAAGATTATTGTCAACCTGTATATTTGTCTAGCATTGCCACTGACATCCTTATTTGATCCAAACATAGCTGGAAAAATCTGGAGGATTACACAACAGGTAAAGGCATTTACTAAACCATCTATCCAGAAATCATATCGCCGTGTGATGGCTATCATGTAGGCCTTCTATTCACTTCAGATATACTAGCTAATTGTAATTATCAGACTTGAATCAGGATTTTTCGGTGCATTCTTCCAAATAGTGGTCATCATTCTCACTTTAAGAATTGAAATTCCAATCCAAGTTATTCCCCTTTGTGCTCCTATTGTGGTCTGTGGATTTCATTTTGAACCTCCAAGTTTCAATATATCATCTAAAATACCACTTGTGTTTACATAGGCTGCTATTCCAACAGTAATCATAGTCTGTGCAGGACTGGGTGTTGCCATTGAAAATCCTGATGCCGCAAAATCATCCTTTCATGTTTCTTCAGTAATAGCCTCTGGTATCATAGGGGATGCAAGCTGTGACCCTGAATCAAATAGTTCAGATGATATCCAGCCACAAAACTTGAGTACTGGTGGTTCTTCTAGAACCATAGATGCTCAACCAGTATAGACCGCCAGTCATTCACTTTCTCAAATTATCTTGCCTAGTACTACCTTCAATTTGATTATATATGGTCTATTTAAAATAGAAACACAAAACGGTATATCCCACAGATTGAAGAATTCACTCTGGCAAAGATAAAATCAAAAGTGCAAGGTTCTGTACCAGTAATATTTGCTGATTCCATGACAACTATCATTGATGGACGACATTTATAATGTGCATTGGTACTGTGAACCCCCTCACAGCCATAGTGCCATAACGAAATCACATACAATCATATAAAGATGAGACCTCTTTTATCTTGTCATCTTGAACTGAACCATGGAATTTCTGTGGAGCCAACTGGGCATATCAACAATATTATGATATTAAATCATTTTCATAGTCTTGACCATGTCTGTAAGTCTTCAAATTACCCATCTAAAGTTAATCTGTAATTGAAATAAAAATACTTTTTGTACAGTAAGTGCTTATCATGATTAGCGATCACAGGAGCCTATACTCTGCTTTTTGCTATTGCTATTGCTGTACTGCATCATCATAAAACAAGAAATAAAGCCAGCAATCAACTCCATCTCATCTTGGTGGTTTTATTGCATTTAGCACAAAACCTACCAATTATTGTTTTAAATTTTTTAGATATCCCATTGCAGGATGTTCCTGATAAGACTGTTATTAATCTTGGGTATGTCACTTTGTTTGTTTCCTTTATTGGCAAAGTGTTAAATTGGCCAAAATGATTTTAACCTACTTCTTTCTAGTCTCATAACAGACCTTATACTTACTTGCAAGCACTTTTGACTTCTTGGAATATGTAATTCAAGACCATCTTCTCTAGCATTTATTCATCATTTGAGCATATCAAAAAAGGATTGCAGTTGTGTTTCTGGTTGTGTCCCACACTTCATATACCTCTAACTATCTTGATATATACTGATACAAACCAACTTGAAGGATTTGGGATTACTACTCCCTGTCACAGAAAGTAATGACAGTCCGACAGATACATTGGTTCATGTGCTTTATCAAATTTATGATAGCTCTCACAGCTATTGTGGATTTCTACATTGCAACTAATTGCAGTAAGTCTTGGATAAATCATTAACAAATCAGTGTATTCAGCTTTCATTGTTGTCAGCATGATTGAGCTTTACCTCAATCTTTGCATCCAGGATTTTTCCTAGAAATTTACAAGTACATAAAATGTAGTATTTTTTTTTGCTCTGAGGAAGCTGGTGCTTATACACACAACAAGTTTGCTATCAAATCATGTAAACAAAGTTCATATTAATTTTGTCAATTTCAGAGCTCCTTTCTTTAGTTGATGATGCATGTATAGCTCTCTCTGTGAAGTATCATATCCTGATTAGGCACTAAGTGAGACAGTTGTTTAGGAACAGAACTTTGATTGCCGACAATAAGTGATTGGACCATCACTTTCCGTGGGAGGAAGTACAAATGCTGCGGCTGTTGAAACAATCTTTTGGAATTGACAAATGCTTAAGCTGAAGTTGAAGTTGATACCTCCATGTCTAGGGAAACTCGGATACAAATAATCCCAACAGTCACTCGAGATCTGTTTTTAGTCACATCCTCTAGAATCCAGCGTTTAAATGGGGGGGGAAAGGGAACATAACTTTTCATGAAAAAAGGAAAGTCGGGTCAGAGCCAAAGCTTCAGGACAAAAAGTGACCACTGCAGGACTCGAACCTGCAACCTTTTGGTGACGTCAGCAATCGAAGCCAAACGCGCTACCATTGCGCCAAGTAGCCATATATGGTTTTGGTAGAGATGAATCACATCCAGAAAGGTATTCACCTTGATTAGAACCTATCTAGCCCAACTCAAGCCGTGTAACCTACCTACCTACCTACCTAACGATAACTTTCAGCAAACTAAATTACAGGATTTCAAGTTTAAGGTTTGGCTTAACTACGCACCCGGCCGCCAGCAAGAAGTCATTTCGGAGTGAGCTTCGATGGCCTTTCAAGTATCACTGCTAGCCGAGGTTATCAACCACCCAAATCCTAATTTTAGGGTTTAAGAGAAGGTCTATTGCTCATTGCCATAACATTAGCGAGGTTCACTGTATCTATCCCTCAACACTACTGATGCCATTATACCCTCTCCGAGGCCTGTAGAATTATCACAAGGAACGAGTCAGCCAATTGCCAAAGCAGATATGAAAAAAAGGACCGACAATTGTTATTGCGTCAGAACGGTGCCAAAAAGATTGAGGAATAAATCCGCTCCACGTAGTTCAAACAGAGGTGCCAATCCAGGTGCAATATTCTCTTCGGCGATGGATTTATCAAAATTCCTCTTACAAGATTGCTCAGCGGACCAGTCCAGCGTGACCGAGGAAAGCCTTTCATTCCCCGAATCAGGCGTCCACCTAGACTTGACCATTCGGGCAAATTTTTGGGGGTCAAATTTCAAAGGATTGCAAACGTGAAATTTGATCTCCCTCAAGTT